TTTATATGTTTTACAGAAGTTTCATAGTATACATTGACTAGTTTTTGTGTATAGTTGTGGTATGTTCGTTTGCTTGTTTATCTGTTCGTTTGCTTGTTCATCTATTCGTTTGTTGGTGGTTCATTTGTTCATCTTTGTACAACTGTTCGCAAACTTTACATAGAATTTAATTAAATTAATGTAATACTGTTATAATTGTGTTGTATTCTGAGTGGTAAGAATAATTTACATGTAACATTACGCAACTTAATGCAATTAATACGTAATGTAATGAGTCTTAATGTCATCTGTCTTTGTCTTGCATCTCTATCGTGAATAATTATCGTCTCAATGTGACGAAATGTTCTCAGATAGGTGAGATGATGCTATTGTTTGCTCAGCTAACGCTCGTTAAATTGGCCAAAAAGTATATTTTTAATGTAAATAAACTGATGAATAATATGAATAAGCACACACACGTACGCACATTCGTCATAAATAAACCAATATAAGTGCGTATTTATGATATAATTTGTATATATATATATAGACATGATTTTGGTTATATATATATATATATATATATATATATATATATATATATATATATATATATGTATGTATAGACATGATTTTGATTAAGAATACCAAAAAATATATCTATCTAGGTATACAAACATATGTATTAAAAAACATATGTGTGTATATATACATATACATACACGCAATGTATACATACATAAATACATACATACACACACATAATTTTGATTATGTATGATGATACTGTAAATCTCATGTTTCAATAAATTAAAATGGAAAGGTTTCCAATTGAACGAACGAATGAATGAATGAGTGAATGAATGAAAGAATGATTTAAGTATTGAATGAATGAGAGAATGAAAACATAAATGAACGAAAGGATGAATGAACAATTCATCGAAATGAACAATGAATGAACAAATGAATGAACGAACAGGTGAATTAACTATTGAACGAATTAACGAATGAACGCAAAATATAATGAACAAATAAATGAATGAACGATAGAATGAACGAATGATAAAAATGGGTATGAAAAAAATTATGTAAAAGAACCAAACAATTACATTATAAAACATCTAAAGCAGAAAAAAGGCGCGAAAAAATTCTCAAGAATTCACAGAAAACCAGCACACACACACACACACACACACACACATAAAGAAAACAAACACACACACACAGAAAACAACCACACGCACGCACACACACACACACACACACATACCTATAAAAGCATACATGTATGCCATCAGATCATGGAAGAATACTACAAATGCTTATCTTTAAATCGTGACAAAACTAGAAGCAAAAAAAATAGTAAAAATACGTATAAAATATTCACACACGCGCACACACACACACACACATATATATATATATAAATATTCATGATTTATAATATAAATAATATAAATACTAAAACAGCTGAGGTTTGCCATGTTTAAATATCGTAAAAATAATAATTTTGCATAATTTATTGTTTAGCGACATAAAAATTGGTCCAAGAATTGAAAATAAATGTAAACAAACACAAACAAAACAAAAACACACACACAAACAAATAAACAAACACACACATTATATACACTATATATAAAATGCATAAGGTCTATATATATATAAAACTTTGAAAGGAGACCATAATTTATAGTGCTGTATGAATTCTACCGAATTGTTGGCATTAATCAATTTAAGGTTTGTCTTTTCAATCTTCCTATTAGAATTTTCTGTAGACTGTTCAGTTTCATTGGAGATAGAATTACTAAAACGAGTTCATCAAATTAAAATTTAATGAAACTGTTGTTATCCTGATAAGATGTATGTGTTTGTGTGTGTATGTGTTTTTGCGTGCGTGCGTGTGTGTGTGTATGTGATTATATGTATATGTTTATTTCGATTCTTCACTAATCATCTTAAGTGTGGATCTGCTTATATAAAGTTTCTTTAAACAAGGCAAAGTTAGTTACTTAGTTGTTGTTGCATTCTTCATCTATCTTTGTTGTTCTCCATTGAAACTGCGTAAACCAAGCCAGCAATTCGGTAGAATTCATACAATCCTACATATACACACACATGCACACACACATATATATATATATATATATATATATATATATAAATACATCATCATCATCCCGCCACCTCTATCACGATCCAAACTATCATCATCATCTTCGTCATCATCCTTTTCATCATCTTCTTCATCAAATCAGTCGTTCTTCGGGTGGAATTTTGAGGGCACGGCTGAATTCATTCGCGACCGACACACCTTGTGATGAGGAATAATTAAAAGAATAATAACAACAGAAAAAACAATAATAATAATAATAATACTAACAATATTAATAATAATACTACTACTAATAATAATAATAATGACAAACCTAATGTTTCCTCTCTACTCGGGCTGTACACACCTTGCCTGCTACGGCGTGGCTTCAGCTTTGAGACGCAGCAAATAACGCCTGATTTTTCGCGTTATACAATGGGTATGTTTGTTCGTTCGTTTGTGTGTGTGTGTGTGTTCGTTTGTGTGTGTGTGTTTGTATGTGTGTGTGCTTGTGTTCGTTTGTGTGTGTGGGCGCGTATGTATGTGTGTATGAATGAATGTAGATATAAGAGTTTTATATTCTTACGTTCAAACACACACAGCTCACATACCACACAAACAAACAAACAAACACACATACAGACATACATACACACATACAAACACACATACATATATACACACATACAAACATACATACATACAAACATACATACATACAAACAAACATACCAATCAGTGTTACGAGCAAAATAGCTCCTCCTACAACTCCGACTATCAAACCAATGAGTTGACCCCTCGTGAAGGCCTGAATTGATGTTGTTGTTGTTACTGATGTAGTTGTTACTGATGTAGTTGTTACTGATGTTGTTGTTAATGTTATTAATGTTGTAGTTGTTGTTGATGTCATATTAATGTTAGGTTAATGCTGATGTGATTGTGGCTGTCAATTTTTTTCTGTTTATTATTGAGAATTTAAACAATCAATCAACCAATCAATCAATCAACCAACCAACCAATCAACTAACCAAAACCCTTACCCTAACTTACCTCATATCTAGACTCCTTAGACTCTGAGGCATATTCACACCTCAGCCCGCCCCAACCGTCAGAGCAGCTGCAGTAAGGAGCGCTGCCACTATTACTACCACCACCACTACTACTATTACTACTGTCGCTGATACAGACGCCGTTTAGAGAGCACGGCTGACCATTCAGCTGGCACAGGTCAACCATTGTCTGACATAACTGTCCTGTGTATTCTGATGATGATGTTGATGATGATGTTGTTGTTGTTGATGACGATGATGATGTTGTTGAGGATGATGATGATGATGTTGATGATGACGATGATGTTGTTGATGATGTTGATGATGTTGATGATGATGATGTTGTTGATGATGATGATGATGTTGTTGATGATGATGATGATGATGTTGATGATGATGTTGTTGATGATGATGATGATGACTATGTTGTTGGTTACAATAATGATGATGATAATATAAATGACATTAAAAAAAATATACATAAAGACACACACACACGTACACACACACATACACGTACACACACATACACAGACATAACCTCGATCACATTTGCACGTATATGCATTTGAAGCCGAGAGATTCGAGTTGAAAAGGCACGTACCAGCATTCAGACACGGATTCGATATGCATGGACTAGTGTACTGCAATGCATCATACATTCATCATTATCATCATCTCCACAATCATCATCATCATCACCATTGAAATCATCATCATCACCACCATCACCATCATCATCATCATTACCTGGCAAAGTTCTCCGTAACGATGCTGCTGACAAATTTTATCAACATAGCAGCCTGTAGTAATCACACCTGGCGATATTTGTGACTCTAAGATCCTGAATGAGTGAATGATTGAATGAATGAATAAATGAATGAAAGAATGAGTAAGAGAGTGAATGAATGGGTAAAAATCATTGCGGGCCGATGAAGAGACCAGAAGAAAGAACATTGAAAGAAAAGAAGAGTAGGAGTAAAAGAATAAATGAATGAATGAATAAAAGATAGAACAAACAAACAAATAAATGAATGATCAACGAATGAAAGAACGAACGAAGGAATGAATGAATAAACGAACCAACCTATCATAACCGAGAATCTCCTCAGATAAGATTGACCTGTTATAAAATGGCAGTAGTACTCCATTGAAACGAACTTCTGAAAAGCAGCCACTAAACGCGCTACTACTACCACTACCGCTACTACTACTACTACTTCGACTACTACTACTACTACTACTTCCAATGACGACGTACCACAAATGAACGGGCTTGAAACAACTATTCAGATACTCATCACCGTTGCTTTTGTAATTATTAACATTACTGTTGTAAGTATTGTTAGTATTGTTGTTGTAGTAACTATTATTATTATTATTATTGTTCTTAATAACAATAATAATGTTATCAGAAATAGTAACGGTAAGATTGAGCCAGCCATCAGCGTCCGGATCAAGCGAGTCTCTTTTCAATAGTAACGTATCGTTCATGAACAACTGCAGACTTCGGCTACTACTACTACTACTACTATTTTTATTATTATTACTATTATTGTTGTTATTATTATTATTATCATTATTATTATTATTATCATTATTATTATTATCATTATTATTATTAATACTGCTTGATAGTTTGATAACGAAATCACAGTTAGTACTGTTGTTATTAGCATTGTTGATGTCATTACTATAATTATTATTATTGCTATTATTATTATTATTATAGATGTTATTATTATTATTATCACTATTACTATTATTATAGTTTGCAATTTGTAGCAGCACAACATTTTGCTGACTTGTCTTAACACCGAATCTCAGATCAATAACTGTATTATTATTACTATTATTATTACTATTATTATTACTATTATTATTATTATTATTATTATTATTATTATTATTATTATTATTGTCGTTGCTGTTGTTGTTTATGATGACGTAGTAAGCCTTGGAATCAGCGCCATTGAATGTTGCTTCAGTTAAGCCTGGTAAGAAAAAAAAGCAATCGTCCGATCATAAAATCAAACACCACAGACAGGCGTTTATAGAAAGTTGGACGCTATATAAACGACCCATCATCATCAACATAATCATTTTAATTATTAATAAATTATTAATAATTATTAATAAATAATTAATAATTATTAATTAGGCTAACATTCGAAGCCATTTTTCCCACTTAAGCACCGCCCATTTTTCGGACATTGATGTTTGAGACAGTAATCAACTTCATCGCAGAGTAGGCCTTTGTAAGGGGCCGTGCAGCGACATCTTGTTCATTAATATTCATGAGATGTTAATGAGCCCCACCACGGCGATCATCATCATCATCACTATCATCATCACCAATAACAACATCATCATCATCACTATCATCACCGCCATTACCCCTAACATCCATCGTCACTAACGCAAAATCATTGAAAAAGACGTTGGAGCAGGTTGCATTATTCTTACAAGCACTCTCCGGGCCACAGAAGTCAGAAGTGACTTCATCGGCCACAACATTCAAAAGATTGACGGGCGTCATGATAATGATCTCTTTGTCACCATTTGTCGTTGACGACGACGGTGGTGGTGGCGATAGAGACGACAATTTGTTGAAGCTGAGAAGAATGTCGTTGATTAAAAAATCTCCAATTGTACCTTTATAAAAAAGTTTTCGGCTGCTACTACTACCATTACTGCTACTACTACTGCTGCTGCTACTACCGATGCTGTTGCTGCTGCTACTACTGCTGCTGTTGCTGCTACTATTATCAGGAAATCCGCCAACAAAAATTCTGATCTTTAATGAGTTCGTTGGTAGTATAAATGCGTTCTTCGTTGTTGTGAATGATTGTTGTTTGATGTTGTTGTTGATGTTGCTGTTCATGTTGTTGTTGATGTTGTTATTGTTGTTGTTGTTGTTGATGATGTTGTTGTTGTTGATGTTGTTGATCTTTTCGAGATTAACGACAATCGATGATGTGTTGAGCGATATTTTTAATAGATGCCTCTCGCCATCTGATATCTGGTGTGCGCGTGTGTGTATGTGTGTGTGTATCTATGTATGTATGTGTGCGTATATGTGTGTATGTGTGTGTGTGTATGTGTGTGTGTATGTATGTGTGTGTATCTATGTATGTATGTATGTATGTATGTGTATATCTATGTATGTATGTGTGTGTGTGTGTGTGTGTGTATGTATGTGTATTCATTCTTGAAAATCATTATCATCATCATCATCAACAACAACAACAGCATTTAATCACCTTATCGTCTGAATGATAAACAAACTGCTGATCATAAACGTCATCATCATCATCATCGTCATTTTTAAGATCTGTCCAATTATATTTTATGTTGAATTTTAGGCTCTCTCCGTCAAACAGATAAACTCTAATAACTGTAGCGTTATCATTATTGTTGCTGTTGTTGTTGCTGTTGTTGTTGCTGTTGTTGTTGCTGTTGTTGTTGCTGTTGTTGTTGCTGTTGTTGGTATGGCTAATAACAACACTGAACAAGATCGCATTTCGCTGCCGACTTCTTAAAAGGAATGAGATAGCAATGTTGTTGTTGTTGATGTTGTTGATGTTGTTGTTGTTGTTAGTAACATGGAATTCGGCAAAACTCGGCACGTTGTTGAAACCAAAGGTAGCAAAACTAGAAGCTACAAGATCAATGCGTGAAAGAAAAAAAACGCAATGAATTAATGAAAACAAATGAATGAACTGGTGAATGAATAGATGAATGAATGAACAAAGGATCAAATAAATGGATGAATAAATAAATCAACAAGCCAACCAACCAAACAGCCAACCAACCAGCCAGCCAACCAGCTAGCTAGCCAGCCAGCCAGCCAGCCAACCAACCAACAAACCAACCAACTTACATATATCACAAGTAACTCCGTAATACGTTCTCGGACAGTAGCAAAGAAACTCATCCCAGAGATCTAAGCAGGTGGCACCATTTTGGCACCTTTGATTACACTGGGGCACCCTTTGGCACCCTCGCCGAATGTTAACAAATGAAGAAAAAGGTAGCAGTAGTAGTTGTGATGATGGTGATGGTGTTGTTGTTGATGATAACGATGATGATGACGGTGATGATGATGACGACGTCATTTTCGTTGTTAAGAACTTCTGTGAAGAAATGTTTGGTGTGGTTGTAATAGATGTTACAAAATCATATGATGACGACGACGATGATGATGGTGACGACGATGATGACTGAGTATTAGTATCATTATCATAACTCTCGACCAGCCATCTTCCATTAATTTTGACGTCATCCATGCAGCCGGCGAACATTCTCTGTGACGTCACATCCGTTAAATCTAAGAAATTATGTATCACCATTATTATTATTATCATTATAATAATAATATTAATTATTATTATATTATCAATATTCAAATAATTATTAAGAATAATATAGCAAATAAATGCGAAATCATCATTAACACTAACTCGAAAGTAGAACTCCGATACTTGGTGACATTTTTTTCATATTTTTCAGCACATCCCCACCAATAAACACATCCCCACTTCCGGCAATCTCGTTAATATTCATAACCTTAATGCAATTACCATTGGCGCAGCTACTGTGACTCAGCTGAATCGTGAGATGTGATTGGTTGAATTTTAACATCACCGCATTCCAATTGGTCAAAACATTTAACTGTGCTTGGCTATCAGCAGAGATCGAAATTACCTTAACCACACCATTATTATTGAGAGTAACATTACTAAAAGTACTGGCAGTATCATTATCACTTTTATGAATATTAGTAGTTGAGGGCAAACTAATTACTTTCACCCTCAAGTACACCCCTTTGTATAACTCCAATACCCACATTGTCGACCAATCAGATGAGAGAAAACCAAACAGTAGCGAATCAGAAAGGGTAGTTTTAAACCGGAAATAGATTTCTCCAAACAATAGATTTTTAGCAGTGATGTAACTATCTTTTGAAAACGTCAGTGACGTACCGACCTCGCAGTTCGAACCTCGGTATCCGGGAGAGCAGACGCAGGAGTATCCGTGCGACTCGTCGATTAGATGCGGTACACACGTTGAACCGTACCGACACTGACTATTCAGACATCCGATTAATGCAACATCGCAATTTTTGCCGCCAAAAGCATTATCGTTCGAACATTCGCACCTGTAATCACCCTGGGTATTGAAACATTGCGCGCCATTTTGGCATGGCGCCAATTCGTTACACTCATTTATCTCTTCCTGACATAGCACATCTCTGTAACCATGACGACACTCGCATCGGAAACTGTTGACGTCATCAATGCACGTGCCGCCATTCTGGCACGGAGACGAGAGGCACTCATCTATATTTAGACTACAGTTGACGCCTGCGTTGTTATTGGTTGGAAGGAATTTTTTAGAAATTTAGAAATTAAATTAACCTCGAAATAACACGCACACATAAACAAACACACACACACACAAACATACACACACACACACAAAAACAAACATACACACACACACACAAACAAACAAACATACACGCACAAACATATACACACAAACAAACATATACACACAAACAAACACACACACAAACAAACAAACAAACACACACGCACAAACACACACACAAACAAATAAACTCAGCAACAAACCGTTAAAACCGGGAGAGCATTGGCAAGTATAACCCTCGTGTAGTAAGTAATCTATACTACTAGGGTAGTAATAATCGTTAATAATACTATCACTACAACCTGTTTTATTATTACTACTACTAATACTATTACTACTACTGCTACTACTACAGTTGGTGGCTCGGCTGTTACTATTGTAGTAATAGTAACGATCGAAGTAGTATTGGTGTGGCTTGGAGTTCTCGAAGCACGTGGCCTCGTTAAGGCACGGCGAATAAGGAGTGCAGTCATTAAAGTCTACCTGACATGTGGAGCCTAAATAACCGGGCGGGCACTTGCAATCGAACCGCTGTACGGTGAGTTAGTGTGTGTGTGTGTTTGTGTGTGTGTGTTTGTGTGTGTGTGTTTGTGTGCGTGTGGTGTACATTTATATGTGTGTGTGTTTGTATAATAAACGAACGTAAGAAAGAACAATCTGTTTACTAAATAACAAACACACACGTTCATATGTATCCATACATACATATGTATCCATACATACCCACACAAACACACACACACACATATAAACAAACTCACACACGCGCACATATACAAACATACAAACAAACAAGTACTCACAAACATACACACGCATACATACACCAAATAAAAATGAAGAGTTTAATAGCGAAAAGATGGAATACATTAGTATTAAACGCACATGCATCAATAATCAAAATAACAATAATAATAATATAATAATAACCATAATATAATAATAACAATAATAATAATATAATAATAACCATAATATAATAATAATAATAATAATATAATAATAACCATAATATAATAATAATAATAATATAATAACCATAATATAATAATAACCATAATATAATAATAACAATAATAATAATAATAACATTTGATTTACTTTAAACATATTTATGTCAGCTCATCGCTATTATGTTTTAACAGAAGACAATTTTTTAAAACGAATGGATGAATGAATGACGAAATGAATGAACGAACGAACGAACGAACGAACGAATGAATGAATGAATAAATGAGTGAATAAACGACAAGAAAAATGGAAAGATAAATAAATGAATGTAAAGAAAACGAACGAATGAATATTCGGTTGATGAATTGAACATATAAACCAACGTTAATCAAATCCTTGCATAATCCCATGTTCCTACACGGATTAGATACACACTCGTTGATATCATCCTGACATGTATCTCCCGTGTATCCGGTGTTGGTGCAATTGCAAGTGTATCTATGATGATAGATGTTTCTTTGCAGTTAAGGCTATTATTATTGTCGTTTGTGTTTCTAAATAAAACGTTCACTCGTTCATCTATTCATTGATTCATTCATCCATCATCTAGCTAATCAACCAACCAATCAACCAACCAATCAACCAACCAATCAACCAATCAACCATCCAACCAACCAATCAACCAATCAACCAACCAACCAACCAACCATCCAACCAACCAACCAACCATCAATCCATCCATTGATTCATTCATCCAATTAATCAGACAAACCCGTTTAATCGATCGACACAGCTGCCATTATTGAGACACGGACTACTGAGACACTCGTCTATGTCTACGTCGCACGATCTACCAGTCGTGCCGCTGACGCAGAGACACGAGTAGTTGCCTGGTCTGTCTAGGCAGGTTCCGTTATGCTGGCAAGGACTCGAGACGCACTCGTCTATGTCAATTTCACAGTTGGGACCTGGTTTTGATGGTGATGGTGAAGAAGGTGAAGATGATGGTGATAGTGAATAGTGAAAATGAATGAGATGATTGCTGCTACTGATGAGAATGAACATACAAACACACACACACACACACAAACATACACACCGGAATATCCAGAGGAACATAGGCACGAGTACATGTCATTTGCAAGGGGTAGGCAGGTACCGCCATTTTGGCATAGAGGTGCTTTGGGGTTGATACGACATATGTCGGTCTTGTTCTGACAAAATCTGCCTACTGATTCATAGATCGGTTGATTGAGAGAATGATTGATTGAATGATTGAGAGACTGATTGATTGTTTGAGAGACTGATTGATTGACTGAATGATTGAGAGACTGATTGAAGTGCTGAATTGTTTGATTGATTGAAGTTGATTATTGCCCGATATGTCGACTGATTGACGGATTTTATTTTCTATAAAAATCAACAACCAACCAGCCAGGCAGCTAGCCAGCCAGCCAACCAATCTTACCTATCAATTTTTAATGTTATACATCAATAGAAATTTTGTTACTTTTTGATGTTTTTTTCCTTATTTTTTTCAATAAACAGATAAAAATAAAAAAAATAAAATACTGTCCGCAAACTCATTTGTGTACGGCATCTCATATCTACTGCAGTTAACGTTATAGCGACCGATAGACTTGTAGCCGGTAGACCTCTGATTTTATTTTTGCCCGACCTCCCTCAACCAATCATTATTAGTTTGTTTTGATTTAACAAATGAAACAAAAAAAAGAAACAAATATAAATAGACGTTCTTTCTAAATTCAATTTGTTTAATATATGGTTAATTTTAATTTAACTCTAAATATGGTTCGTTTTGAAATTCACTTAGTTCATTACATCATTCCAGGTTCTAAGTTCTCTGCATATGGCGTGATACTATAGCTAGAAGATATATTCGACTTTTGACTGATTTACGTGTATTCGTTCGTTCGTTCGTCCGTTCGTTCATTACTTCGTTCGTTCGTTCATTACTTCGTTCGTCCGTTCGTATGAAGCTGATAAAAGTCTTCCAACAGGTTTGAAGTATTCATTAAAGACAGGATTATATCATAAGTATATAAATAAATATATAAATACACATATCATATATATTTAAATATACGCATATATATATATATATATAAATATATCAATATATATAATACATATATATATATATATATATAATACATTATATAATATATAATACAATAAATATATATATATCAAAATTATGATATATATATATATATATATATATATATATCATAAATATATCATATATATCATATATACATTGCATAAATATAGATGTATATTGTGTATATGTTATATAGATTTATATAATTAGCAATGTCTACATTGCCGTTGCGACATTGAGGTAGTTTGGGGTTGGTACGACATATGTCTGGTTGGTTCTGGCAAAATCTACCCACTGATTGGTTGGTTGATTGAATGAATAATTAGTTGATTGATTGATTGATTGAATGATTAATTGATTGACTGAATGATTGATTGATTGATTGATTGATTGATTGATTGATTGATTGATTGATTGATGGATGGATTTATTGATTTATTGATTGATTGATTGAAGTGCTGATAGTTTGAATGACTAAGTTGTATGTCGATTATTTGAAATGTTGATTGATAATTGATTGATAAATTGACAAATTATATTTTCTATGCAAAGTAACAAACAACTAGCCAACCAAAGAACCAACAAACCAATCAACCAACCATTCAACCAACCAACCGACCAACCAATCAACCAACCATTCAACCAGCCAACCAACCAACCAATCAACCAACCAATCAACCAACCATTCAACCAACCGACCGACCGACCGACCATAATAATCTTTACAGAAACACTGGAACCCCAGAGAAGATGAGTTAGTAAGGACACACTTTCCTTCATTCAAACAAACCGGTGGCTCAAATGAACAAGCGTCGATCGGTTTCTCACAGAACCTGCCTTCGAATCCCGCCCTGGGCAATCAACAAGTATATAAACATTACGTTAACATACACACACACATGCACACGTACACGCAAACACACACACACACATACGCACAGGCGCACACACATCCATACACAAATTTAACAAGATAACTTACTTTTTGGGATTAACAATGCTACTCCGGTCAAAATAATAATTATCAGACTGAACACAAAGGCATGCAAATCCAAGGCTGCTATTGCTATTATTTATACCATTGTTGTTGACACACGTGCCATTGTTGTAGCACTTGACGTCAGCACACGTTAAAACAGCGACTGAACCCGCGTCAGCTGCTTTTGTTGTCGGCGCTTCTAGTGCTACTTGCAAGTGGCGTTTCGTTGCTGCTGCTGTTGATGTGTGTCAAAAATGTGAGACGTTCTTAATTGTGTATGTATGTACATCGTTGGCGTGTGTATGTATGTATGTATATGTGTGTATATGTATGTGTATGTGTGTATATGTATGTGTATGTGTGTGTATATGTATGTATGTGCGTGTATATGTATGTGCTTGTATGTGTATGTATGTCGTCAAGAATAACATGAGTTTGTCAAAGATGTTATCACACATTAACACAAGATTGCATGTATGTGTGTAGAGCATGCATGTACGTACGCACGTGTGTGTGTGTGTGTGTACGTGTGTGTGTGTGTGTGTGTGTGTGCGCGTGTGTGTAATGTGTGTGTAATCAAATAAAATAAGTTGAACGAACATGTATAATTTAATTAAAACAGCATTAACATCATTTAGTTATTGTTTACTTATTCGTTCATTCATTCATTCATTCATTCATTCATTCATTCATTCCAGACAATTTTGCTCAAGTTTGAACAGGAGACATATGATATATAAACCTCTCTAGCACAAAAAAAAACATCAACGACAACAACAACAACACACGTTTAGATGACATTTTCCCCGAGATCGGGGGGGGGGGGTTGCCGTTTGGCTACCCATGATGAAACTGAAATACAACTACAACAACAACAACAACAACAACAACAACAACAACAACAACGACGACGATAATAAAAATCAAAAAAAAACTAAATAAACCTGAACAGATCAATGATAAGCATGAGTGGCAACTACCCTCCAAATTGTTATTATTATTATTGTTGTTGTTGTTGTTGTTGTTGTTGTTGTCAAGTTCGAGGAGGTTAAACAAGTCAACCTTATCCATCTCTAGTTCTAGCTTAATGCATCCATCCATATTCAATCCCAAAATAAAGGATGACGACGACGACGATGATGATTGCGATGGGGATGGTGGTGGTAAAATTATTGTCTGATCAAATACTGCTACTAATTCCTCATTCCCATTAACATTATTATTATTATTATTATTATTATTATTATTATTATTAATACTGATAAGATTATTAGTAATATCCTTATTTGTACTAGTGCAAACAAATTCACTGAGTTTGAAATAGATCCAGTTATTATTATTATTATTGTTAATATTGTTATTATTATTATCATTATTATTGTTGTTGTTGTTGTTGTTGTTTATAACAGGAAGTAAACGTAAATTATACCAAACATTAATCTTCAAGTTGGTTTTTGTTGATAAGACATTAATATAATTATAATTGTTACTATTATTGTTGTTGTTGTTGATAATGTTTTCGTTGTTGTTGTTGTCATTGCTGTTGTTGCTTATACCGGTCCATTTAATATAAAGTTTGTTATCAATGTTCCTCAAGCCAATTTCAAATGGAATGCTGTTGTTGTTGTTGTTGTGAGCTAGTAAAATGACGTCACGATCGTCGTTGTTGTTGTTTACATTGTTGTTGTTGCTGCTGTTGTTGTTGTTTCTATGGTTACACAATTTAAAATAGAAGCTAAATTCTTTGGTAACAGTGAAAGATTTTTTTCCGACTGTAATGTAAGAGTTTTTTGACTTTTCTAATAAAAAAGTTCTTGCAGATGTTGTTGTTGGTGGTGTTGATGTCGTCACTGTGCTAGAATTAGTAGCTTTGGTGGCTCTTGTCGCTGGGTCACCTCTACCAATTGTCACAAAAATCCAACCTAGATTTGTGGATTTTTTCAAAAAGTTTAAACTCAATCAACTAACCAACCAACCAATAAATCAACTAATAAACCTGTGTGTGGTGGTTTCCAGTTCGTAGATAAATCAATACAAATGAACAAAACCAAAAAATACAAATATACAGAAGATTTCGAAAAAATTGTTCCTCTGATGATAAAAAGTAAAGCCATTTGATACGTTCTGCTATGTTAAATCTATTTCAAAGATGTAAGCTCTTTTTTATGTTTATAAATACATACATACATACACACACACACATATATATATATATATATTAATCAATATAAATATATATACATACAATCAAATATACTTACGTACATACACATACATACATATAGGCATTAATATACATACAAAAATCAATGAATGATGATTTGTTTATATATAACTATAAATTCAGCGTCATGATTACGTCATAACGATAATAAGAAGAAAAACAACAACTATAGCAATAATAATAATAGACTATATAACTGAATAGATATAATTTTTAATTTGTATTGTTGGTCACAAAAACTGCAAGAAATATGAATTAGTCACTAAAATAATAGATGAGATTTTAATGTAAATTTAGATGTTATAATATATAATAAACAAACAAGTAATAAACAAATTTTTTCCTTCATTTTTAAATATATCTATTGGTTCATTCACTCCAACATACATTCGTTTGTTTATTTATTCATTCATTCATTGATTTAATGGTTTGAACGTTAATTCATTCATCAACCTCATATATTAAACCATCCATGCAATCATTCATTCATTCTTATATACATGCATTCATTCACTCATTTGTTTCTTCATTCACTCATAAATTCATTTGTCCAACCATTGAAAAACCCAAACAGACACATAAGGACATGAATGATAAGATATTATCTATAATAATATTATTATTATTATAATTATTACCACTACTAACATTATTATTATTCTTGTTATTTCAATTTTAAACAGAAATACGCCCATAAAAAATACACACACACACACACACACACACACACACACAGGCAAGCACGCACACGCGTCTAAACACATTCATTTATTGAGGCATAAACATTCATCAATTCATACACTCATAGATACATACAAATATAATATTACACACACATACACACACACACACACACACATGCATAAACGTTGGTAATAAACATACATACATAAACATACATACATTTATACACCCATACTGTATAAACATACCTCAATAATAAAAATATTTAATGAAGGTATTTCTTCAATAGAAAATAATAGTTTTAATATGGTTACCAGTTAGCTGGGAGTGTGAGTCTGGGCAGCCAGCGTTGTTACAAAAAGTCAATAAAACTCAGTTTGTAGACAGAAATGTTTATCATCTTTAGTTTTTTTTACAGTAGTAGTCATCATTATAAAGTACAAACTATAATTAGAAAAATTTTTAGGAATGTGACGATGATACAGTAAATTAAGCTAGTAGTTGGTCACAAGATCCATGTACTACTCAATCTCCTAAGCATGAAAATGTATCATTTGCTAGTGGAAATCACGAAGTTGTTGATATATAGTATCTTGATGTATATAGTATCTTGATGTATATGGTATCTTGATGTATATGGTATCTTGATGTATATGGTATCTTGATGTATATGGTATCTTGATGTATATAGTATCTTGATGTATATAGTATCTTGATGTATATAGTATCTTGATGTATATAGTATCTTTATGTATATAGTATCATATATAGTATCATATACAGTGTCATATAGAAAACATAGTATCATATATAGTATATAGCATTGATATATAGTATTATTATGAATTACTGAACATACACTCACTATAGTAACTAGAGTATAGTTCGAATTTTTGGAATGTGGTGCTGGTATAATGAATTAAGCTGGTAGTTTTTTACTAGTATCACGTGGCGGATCTAAGGGGGACAGGGCCGTGCCATAGTCCCCTCCATTGTGATCAATATTTTCACTAAAATTTAGTAAAATTCACATAAAATTTACGCTTATTAAATATTATGTGTGATTGACAGCCAAGATAATATCTAATCTACACAAAACAGACTATAATTTTATAGTTTGCTCTGGGTATACACAAATACACACACACACACACACAACACACACCCACACATACAAAACTGTAAACGCTATTTAACATTCGTAATATCTATATATATACAATCATTGCCATCAGCAATGGTAGTTTTTTTAATCACCATCATACTTATCTTTGTCATTATTGTCATCATCATTACAATCATCATCAATATATACTCATACATACAGACACACACACATAAATACACACACATACATAAGCATGTTTTTTAGATTTAATAAGCTATTATACAATTATAGTTATAGTCTATCTAATTATTATTATACAATACATAAATACAATAACAATTATTTCGGATTCACAAACACGTGTGCCCAATAAAGACATTAAAAATTAAATTAAAAATTATTAAAAAATATTAAAAATAATTAATTGAAAAATAATTACGACATACCAAAAAATAAGCAAATTTTTATTAGGTTTAAAAACTTAAAGAAATTATGATGTAGGGGAAGCCGACGATGATGAGTTATAATTTTATTCTGATCGCAAGCCATAATTTTATGTTTTAGGAGTTTGTTTAAAAAATAAAAGACTTTATTTCATTAAAAATTTTATTAAAAACAGAATTTATACGTCAAAAAACGCAAAAAATGATTAAACATTCATTTTTCGCTTTATTTACCAAAATATTTAAAAGTGAAGTACCATTTGATGGAGTTGGTTTAATTGACTACTCTAGATTATTGGCATGATTATAACAAAAATAATTTTAAAATAGATATTAGAATTATAGAATTGAATAAAATTACTACATTTAAAAATAAAAATAAACTAGGTAAATATTTCATTAAGCTGGTTCGTTAAAACCCATGCAATTTCATTAGTAAGCCAATATCCCGAGGAAATCAAAGAGCCTCTGTCGCATTTGAGCCAAGCAAAGACATTTTAGTAGTTTTAAATTTGAAATAAATGTCAATGAAAAATAAAGTCAATAAAAAAAACGCATTATCGGCTGTGTGGCAGAAAAACTAATTTTAATTTTAATTTGGTTTTGAGTTCTTTGACTGACAGATTAACAATATTCAGCGCATTTAAATTTTTGTTATAATTAGAAATTTAAATTTAAGAAATTGTTAAAATCTACAAACTAATTAATTATTAATGGTTAAAAGTTAGAAGAGTACAGGCATCAACTTATTATCGGCCACACAGTCGTTCATTGTAATCACCACTGAACTAATTAGTAAAATCACTAACCTCAACTTTCAAACAAAATGTTTTTATCACCTTTGATCAGGCATTTACACTCCACGAAAAGTTATTTTTAAATTCTTTTAGTTTCCAATTCATATGCACAAACTATTTTTTATATCTTTCATAAAATTTTCTAATTACTATTAATTAAATTATTAATTAATTAAAATGTACCCATAAGAATTGTGTTCAGAAATCAGGCAGGCTTCTCTTCTGTTAACTTCCCGTTTTTATTCAAGCTCTCATTCTCTGGCTGTCACTGCTACAGCAACTGGTACAACCCCACAGCACGATGTGTTTGTATTTTATTTAATCTTTAATGAATAATTCAAACATTTTTTTGTTATTTTGTATTTAAATTTGTTTCAATTATTTGTGTGATTGGTGTCAGTAGTCTGACAATTCTATAATTAGTTATGCTTTTAAATAAAATCTTGATTTACACTTCAGATTGGATGAGATAAACACTAAAAATTCATCATGGACAGGTATGTTTTTTTAATGTTTTCTTTTAGATTCTTCTCTTAAAATAAAATAATTTTGTGTATTTTCACATTTGATTATATCACTAAAGTAAAATTAAAACCAAAATCATTAACAAATATGCTAAATTCATTGCATAATTCGTAGTATATACACTAACTATTACTAATCCTAAAACACTAATTATAACATCCAGAACTTTCCAGAAAAGTTAACACCCAACTAAAGCAAAACACAGTCGGAAGATTATTTGCAGTCATCATGGTAGCTGGGAAACAAAGAAAAATAACCAACGAAGACATCATAGTCTTAGACAAGCCTATAGAAGCACAGACTGGGGAAAAAATACTGCTTAATAAGGTAAATAAATGAATAATAATAGTCGTAAAAATAATAATAATTATTATTAAAATCACCTTTTATTATCTAGGTATTATTAGTTGGGGGCAGCGATTTCACATTAATTGGTAGGCCTCTTCTCAAGTAAGTACAAAAAAAATTGGCAAGAGTATATTAAATATATTTTATAATAAAAATATAATAAATTTAAATAATAATAATTATTATATTTAATAAATAAAATATCAGATATTAAATAAAATATTGCAGGCCAAATATGGTGAAGGTTGAAGCGACAGTGATAGAGAAACCATTATCGCACCCCATAGTAATGTTTTGGTACAGGAGGAGAGAAAATTTCAGATTTTTCAAATGTTAGTATCTGTATCTAAGTGTATCCATGTGTACCTATGTGTATCCATATCTGTGTGTAACTATATCTGTATGTATGTGTATATATGTATATCTGTGTAAATATATACGTATCTGTGTGTGTCTGTATCCGTATCTGTGTGTAACTATATCTGTGTGTGTGTGTCAAAAAATATGGTAGACTAATTGTTGCTAAAATATAAATATTTATTACATGATTATGACAATTAGTTTTTAATTAAGCTCACTGTTAATAACTATATTAATAAAAATTAATTATAGATTACGAAATATAAAGTATGAAATTATATAAATATGAATTATGAAAATATAAAATGTGAATTGTAAAATATAAACAACCTTTCCTTCCACTGCAGTACGAAAGATCAATTACACTTACCTTAGAATAAATGACATCAAGCTCTTTGAATTGCCCGCTTAACTAGCTAACCTATTTTTAACAATAATTATTATCATTATGACTTCTATTATTACAACAATTGTTGTCATTTTGTTTGCCTTTATATATTTTATAAAATATAATAAATCTATAATTTTTATAAAAAAAAAAACAAGAACGCCACAAAACTATGTGTTTAACTTAAATAATTCATTTATATTTATCAGGTAATAATAAAAAGCATGCTCTAGCATTATCACTCCACGACTATTGAAACTATCAACCATTGAGATGTGGTACTGATGTGATAAGCATAAATAAATAGGATTAATTAAAAGGTACTGCTGTAGTTTAAGCCAAAAAAAATATACACATTTAAATGCATTATACATTCAAATAATGTTACAAAAATAATTATCAATCATATACGAATGAATTTGTTAATGTACTTATGTACATACAAGTCAATGATTATTTAATGTAGCGCAAGGTAAATGGTATCACGTGAATAAGAATATAGGATATACTAAAAAAAAATCCAAAAATAATATTAATCTGTTTTTCATTTGGCGAGAGAGAAACACAGATACATTGAGAGTGTGTGTGTGTGTGTGAGAGAAAGAGAGAGAGACGTACTTATCCATCTATTTTCATCCCTAAAAACACATTATTATAGTTAACGTGACTAAAAGCTATTCAGATACAAAAATAAATACACAGTATACACTAATGGCATAAAATACACCACATAGACACACATATAAATACTTGTAAATCAAAATAACCATTAACAGATTAGTAGAATTTAAAACATTAAACAATTACCGTTCTTATTGTTACAATTCATGTCTTTCATTTTTTATTTTTTTTTTTTACTTTCACTCAAAACCACAATTGAGAACAAATGAACACGAAGAAATACATTAAAATCAATTGCTTGTATAAATGTATATATATGCATACATATTTAGACGTACGTACATAGATACATAAACAAATACACACACACACACCATATATACATACAATGCAACAGACACATAAAATACACATTTACACTCAAAAATCACGATATATTAAGTATTTAATGAGCACAACACAAAGAACTCAATTCATGACAAATAGCATATATATATATATATATATATATATATATATATATATATATATACACATGACAATTTTAAACTGAACTATAAAACGAATACCTAACAAGGTACAAAAGACTAACTGAATATTAATTGCTCAATACTAATGCTACATACAGGTAGTATTACACACACGCGCACGCACGCACGCACTCGAATTTATCGTCATGATATTTAAACGAAATAATAAAGTGATTTAGTTATAGTTAAAAAAAAAGAAGAGTAATGATATCGAAATATATACCATAACCTATTTAGTGATAAGAAACTAGACACCAATTGAAAAATATACATATGTACATCTGGATAGGTGAAGTCTTAGTAAAATAAGCATTAAAGCTAATAGTTTATTAAGCAATCGTCAACCAACCAACAAGCCAGCCAGCCTTATAATCATGCAATCAATCACTCATTCACATAGTTATTCACAACACAACAAAACACGCACACAACGCGCACATTCATACACATGCTTACGTAAATAGACAAACTAATTTATCACGATATCACATTTATATATGAATATATAGAAGCTTTTGTTAATGCATTCGGAGAGGGAAAAATAGAAAATGAATAAAAAGATCAAGTATATTATAGACAACAATAAGTTATTTATTGTTACATATCGATCTATAATTAATCATAGTAGAAGGTAAAATAATAAGAATAAAATTTTCAAGACTGCAAAACTACAAGCTGATATCGTAGATAAAAATACATACATACATAGATGTATACACACATACATACATACATACATAGGATTAATAATTACAACCGCCATAAAATACATAAGCACATGTGTTCAAATAAATTTTACATAAATTATGTTTTAACATTGTCAAAGATCATATAATCTATCAATAAACTTGTCAATCAACCATTCAATCAATCAAGAGAGGAGGAGTTGAACGCTTCACGTTGAACTCAGGCTTCTGTTACATGACTTTCCAACCAGTCTGGTCGTGCTCTGTGGCTTGATTGATAAAAGGTTCTGCAGATGTCTGTCGGAACAATATCAGTGATTAATCAGTATTAATTGATTGAATGATTGGTTAAATGATTCATTGATTAAATGATTATTCAGTTAATCTGGCGATTGTTGATATATAAAAGTTAAATGTTTGAATCTAATTGGCTGAATAAATTTTAAAATAAAACAGTTAACATTATATGTGATTATTATTATCATTATAAACAAATCAACAGTTGAAATATCACCCACAATCTCAATTTTTCATTTTCTTTTCTTTGTTCCAAAAGTTCTCTGCTCAGTTCCATCACAGTTTTCTTAACAGTAGTTGATGTAGTCAATCTTCTCATCACCTCATTGGCTGTTGGCCTCAAAATCGGGTCACTGGACGACATGTCCTGCAATTTGATTGGTTGACCATGATTGTGTCAAATATAAGTGTCAGTGCGCATATATGCTATGTATGTATGTACTTGTGTGTATATCTATAAAGACAATAGTCAAATAGATTCAGTCTACTGACTGAATGATTAACTCACCCTTAAAATATCATTGAAATCTTCTGAAACGTGTCTAAGGTTAGGCAATCCAAAGAGTCTATATTCCTGCCAGGTGGGTCCATTCAGGGGCATCTCCACATTACTGCCCTGTTCAGGGAATTTTTTTTAAAATTAGTCAGGGTTAATTAGTGAAAGACAAATGCATTAATAATAATGATAGCAATTTAAGAATGGAAATTTCAGTAAAAAATGAAATCATCACAAAAGGACAACTAAATACAAAGCAAAGAATATAAAAAATACAAAAACAAAGAACACAAAACAAGAGAGAGGAGAGAGAGTAATACTAACAGCTTCATAAACTGTGAGTGATAAGGAGAATATATCTGCTTTCTGTACGTCAGTC